ACCCTATTTGGGGAATGAAAGTATCAATGCTAAGGAAAGGGCTAATGCTCAGAAGGCTATTGAATGCTGTGCTGTCATAGGCCTGAGGTAGTTGATGGGATGGATTGAATTTATATACCGCCCTATACCCAGAGGTCTCAGGACGGTTCCCAGAATAAGATCAACGTATAAAACCACAAAATACATAATGAATACATACATAATGCATAATGAAAATAAAAAACCCAATAGCCGCCCACAAAAAACCCTGTACATTTTAAGAGGGAATAGTTATGTCAATTTCTACAGCTATGGCAGTTATGAGCAATCTAAACAGTTAGAGCAGCAGGAATGTTCTCTTGTGCTGCTGTCAGTCTGTAACAGTATTTATCACAGATTAAAATCTATGTAATATGTATTAGCAATGTAAGTAACACCTACCTGCATTGTATAGTTTAATCTGAAAGTTCAAGTACATTTGGTAAGAAGGAGAAGCAGCATCTGCTGCCGGCTCCTTATTTCAGCTCTCGTCTCCCTCCAGGAGGGAATCAGCATTGGGTTATGAGGAATCAATCAATCAAGAGGGAGAAGGTTGGCACAAGCTTCTCTTTGCCATTCAGACATGTGCTGGGCTGGCCAAATGGTTAAGTGACAGCACAAAGTATCTTTATCAGGGGGCCTGATGCTTGCCCAGGGAGCAAATGCTTGACAGCCATCCTCTAATTTCAGTCCTGTGACCTTTCAGCTGCAAAGCGGACATAGACGACAATAAGATTTATTCCATTCAAAATCCCTTGCTTGTCATTCCCATTAGATGCTGCCCATTTCCACCTGTGTTGAGAGCTGCCACCCTGGACAGAGTATGTTTCCCCAGCAGGGAAAGCAAATCTGTTGCTATGATTGTGTTCAGTGCCCTAAAGGGAGAATTTCAGTCCAGAAGGGTAAGTGAAGGAACCCAAGTCAACTGGAATTCTTCCTATCCAACTTCGACATTGATTTCTTAGTCTTATTATGTCTGCTTATTTTCTGTCATAGATCCCAAGCACATGTGTTTATATGTTACTGATACATATTGTCCTTTCCTCTCTCCTCCCCTTTGGATAGCCATTCAAGAGTATATTGTGTGAAATAACGTTCACATGGGAGTAACTACCATTGAAATCAAGATGACATACATCTGGGAAGAAATAATTAGGATTGCACCCCATAGATTCCCTTTTTGTCAACATTGAACCTGCAGCCAATCAATTTTCATCTTCTGTGATTAACAACTAGTGAACAATTTTCTCTATTGTATCCGTACAGTTTCAGTCCTTAGGCACAGTTATTTCTTGTCAAATATAGATTTTCCCAGTGAGCAAATGACAGGCTACCTAGCTGTTTCATCCACTCCCAAATTCAATTATGGAAAGTGCAAAAAAGAAACACTTGGGCCAGAAGCTTTGAAATGCAAAGACATGGGGCTGGATGCAGAGATAGACATGTTTAAGGGGGAAAGACTGAAATCAATCAGTATACACAAAGCCTGACAAATAAATATGAATGGATTGATTAGTACAGCTGAGATGCTCATGGAGGAACCATCACTTAGTTGCGAAAGTAGACTTTGCTTCATCAGTTCAGTAATATGTTTTGTGTACCGCATAACAGACGGTGTCAATAATATTAATAAGTATCGCTTCAAGAAATGCTAAAAGCATGCTTCTCACTTTCAGATGCAGATCAATGTGAGAAATGCCCCGATGATCACTACCCAAATGCCTTTCACAACCAATGTATTCCCAAAAAAATAAGCTACCTATCCTATGAGGAGCCCTTGGGGGCAATTCTGGCCTCCTTTGGCTCTCCTGCTTTCTCTGGTCACAATTGTTGTGATGGGGACCTTCGGTCTGCACTGGAACACTCCCATTGTCAAAGCCAACAACTGGGGCATCACCTGCACCTTGTTCTCTTCTCTGCTTCTCTGCTTTCTCTGCTCCTTCTTATTCATTGGCAGGCCTACAAAGGTGACCTGTGTCTTGAGGCAAACCGTCTTTGGCATCGTCTTCTCCATTGCTGTGGCTTGTGTGTTAGCCAAAACCCTCACTGTGGTTTTGGCATTCATGGTGAACAAGCCTGGGAACAGCCTGAGGAAATGGCTTGGGAAGAGGCTGGCAGGATCCCTTATCACCTTCTGCTCTCTCATTCAAGCTGGCATCTGTCTTGGGTGGCTGGCATCCTCTCCCCCATTCCCAGAGTTTGACCTGCACTCCCAGGAGGGGCAAATCATAGTGCAGTGCAATGAAGGCTCCGACATCATGTTCCATCTTATTCTCGGCTACATGGGTCTTTTGGCCATTGTGAGCTTCTCTGTGGCTTTCTTTGCCAGGAAGTTGCCTGATACTTTCAATGAAGCCAAGTTGATTACCTTCAGCATGCTGGTCTTCTGCAGTGTTTGGCTGTCCTTTGTCCCCACTTATCTGAGCACCAAAGGGAAATACATGGTGGCTGTGGAGATCTTCTCCATCTTGGCCTCTACTGCTGGCTTACTGGGTTGCATCTTCCTCCCCAAAATCTACATCATTATACTTAGACCTGAGATGAACAGTAAAGAGAGATTAGTAAGGAAGAAGGATGACCATAGTTGAGAGGGTGAAAGAGATGCCGTTAGCCAGGGACCTTATGTTCTGGCAAGGAGATATTGAATTTCTTTTTATTTCCCTTCTTGTCTTCCATCCAATGAGTTCATGGTAGGATAGACTGAGAGATGGTATCTGAGCCATAGTTGAATGGGAATTTGAACCCAGTTTTCCTAGCTCGTAGTACAACACACTAATCACCACACTTTATGTTGAGACCATTTTGTTAATAATAATCTCTGGAAACAATAACATCAGTTAGAAAGATATAGAATGCAATGCCTAATGAAAATAGATTTGACCCCTTTTCCTATGAGAAACCCAACTTTAAAAAATGAGGAAAAGATAGGTGATATGCAAAAATTAGATGGAAGCGGGTATATTGACTTTGGATCAATCGATAGATGATGAAGATGAATTTTTAGCATTCTGTGTGTTATGAGATAAATATCAGCTATTGGATGTAACCAAATAGTAACATCTACAGCTTCAACATTTGTTAGCAACTTTGCTTTGGCCAGCTGCATTTTCAGCTTCTGAGACACTTTTTTTAGAAACCCTCTCTCTCTCTCTCTCTCTCTCTCTCTCTCTCTCTCTCTCTCTGTGTGTGTGTGTGTGTATACAAATATACATACATACAAACGCACGCAAAATAAATCAATTTGATATGCAGATATGAATATATAAATGAAATAAAGGTGGCTCCTGTATTGCCTAAACAACTGGACAGAGTTTTTAACTTCTATTACAGGGGTGTCAGTGCACCTTAAATGATAACCTATTCAACAAATAATGTTTGATTTGTATTAACTAAAACAGCATTTTGTTTGAGATGTAATAAGGATAATGCTTCTTTAAAACACATTTTTTAACAATGTCCTATACTTGGGAGAAAGCAGTGGATTGTATAAATATGACTGTACAGAAAAAGCTGAAGTTCTCAGAGGGTTATACTCTTTAGAACTACATAGCTACCATGTGGAATTTCCAGTTGGACAATGTGAATGGATTCTCTGTGCCCTTACTATGGTCAGGGTTCAAATCCCCACGCAGCCATGAAGCTCACTGGGTGACCTTGGGTCACTATCTTGCAGCAAAACCTACCGTACAGGGTTGTTGTGAGGATAAAATGGAGAAGGTAAATAACCACATTTGCGCTCCTCGGAGGAAACGTTGGATATACATGTGATACTAAAAATATATATATATAGCCCACACCATCCTCCTTGGGCCCAGAGGTTCCCAGGCAATCAGAAGCAATGATCCTAATTCTCCACAATGGCAGCCTTACATCCTTAGACTCTTCCTAATTTGACTGCCTCTGAGGGTTTTGTCCCTATGGCACCAACACTGCACTTGAACCATTCACTCACTATTTATGTTTGCTGTTAGTGTCTCCATTTGATTCTTCCATTCTGCTCTGGCTTAGCAGAAAGGGGTGGGGATCATCATCAATGAGACAAGTTTCATTTTGCCTCACATCTTCAGGTATGTGGAGCATTTGAATTCTGCTGCTGCTTCCAGGTGAGCTAATTTTAAACTTAGAGCAGAAGATTCTGGTGCAGATGTTTTCTTTATTATAAGGGGAAATGCTTTGTCTAAATGATCAGCATATGCAATTCAAACTGGCATGTGTTTTTACACATAAGTAAGAGGAAGTAGGTGTCGAAGACCAGATACTGTTGACATGCTATAAAATAAGTTGATAGCCTTGGCCGTGGGTCAATAGTAGTCCTAAACCAGGGTTTCCCAAACTTGGGTCTCCAGCTGTTTATGGACCACAACTCCCACCATCACTGGCTAATCAGGGATAATGGGAACTGTAGTCCAAAAACAGCTGGAAATCCAAGTTTGGGAAACCCTGTCCTAGACTTTTATTTTTGTGACACCCACCTCACCAGCTTACGATGAGACATGTCTGGAGTGTAGGTTTCCACAGAACTTTTGGCAGGAATGGGAAGGAAATATGTGGCCCTCCATGTGCTATTGGACTTCATCTCCCATCATTCCCAGCCAGTGTAGCCAATGATCAGCAATGATGGGAGCTGTAGTCCAGCAGTACCTGGAGAGTCACAGGTTCCCCATCCCTGACTTACAGCCTAACAGGGTAAGGGGTGTGGAATGGCTGAAGGCTGCAAGAGACTGCTAAATTCACACCCCAAAGGCTTCTATTTGTCTTTGTCAGCAGTTTTTGACTGCCTTGCAACAGTTGACAGCCATGTAATTTTGTGTTCTTATTTCTGATCCCACTGAAGATGTGTGAATATACTGAAAAATGTTCTGTTTCTGAACATAGGGGTTCCAGATCATGGTTCATCCTCTATGAATTTGTCTTCATGAATTCGACCTGAGGTTAAGTCCTAATAAATTTATTCATCTGGACAAGTCAGCACTATCAGACACATGGAACTGAAGAACCAGTCAGCAGTTCAAGATTTTATTTTGCTCGGCTTATCCAGCTCCCCTGAACATCAGAAAATCATATTTTGGGGATTCACTTTAATCTATGCAACTGCTTTGTCAGCCAACTTCCTCTTCATCTTCACTTTAAGCACTTGCCGCAAACTCCACACCCCCATGTATTTCCTGCTCATCCATTTGTCCATAGCAAACATGTTTTGTATCTCGGTGACAATTCCCAAGATGCTCCAGACTACTTTGGCCTCCAGGAAGACCATCTCATTTTCCGGCTGCATAGCCCAGGTCTACTTTTTCTTGTGGGCTCTGGGAACAGAGATATTGCTGCTTTCCTTTATGGCCTTTGATCGCTTCATCGCCATCTGCCATCCTTTGCAGTACACAGTCATCATGAGGAGGGAAGTGTACATCGGGGTGGTGGCTGGAGTGTGGGTGGCGGGGATGATCAATTCTGCCGTTCACACGGGGCTTGTGCTTCGCCTTTCCTTCTGTGACTCCAACATCATCAACCACTTCTTCTGTAACTTGCCTCCTTTGCTGATGTTGTCTTGCTCAGACATCAGCCTCAATGAAGCCATGGCTTATGTAGCTGATGCGGTCTTCTCCATGGGTAGCTGTTTGCTGACGCTAACATCGTATTTGTTGATTCTGAATACCATCTTTAGAATTCAATCTACTGAAGGGAAGAAGAAAGCCTTCTCCACTTGCTCTTCCCACCTCCTTGTTGTCAGCTTCTACTTTTCCACCATCATCTACACATACATCAGGCCTACCTCAACTGCATCCCAAGAAGAAGACAAGGTTATTGCTATCCTTTATTCAGTGGTGACTCCTGTGCTCAACCCTGTCATATATTCCTTGAGAAATAAAGAAGTTAAAGAAGCACTGAAGAAGCTCACAAGTAGAACCCTGCTGAGAGTTAGTGTTGGGTAGTGGTTTGAGTGCTGGACTTTGAGTGAGAGAGACTTGGCTTTAAAGTCTCACTCAGCTTCTGAGTGTTTTCTCTCATCTAAACCTATCACATTGGATAAGGTTGTGAGAGCCATGTACATTGCCTGAAGCAGCTTGTAGTTAAAAAAACGTAATATCTAAATAGATGGAATCATAGAATTGTAAAGTTGGACCTGGGATCTTTTGTATGAGCCACAGCCCTTCCCGATACTAATTGGGAAAGTATCAAAACTAGAGTTGGGGGGTTGCTGTAGGAATATCCCTAAGTGTGCAGTATAAATAATACTATGATTGGTCATACTACATAACCAAGGGATATAAAACGCAGACACAGCAGTGTCTTCCTGAGGGAGATCCATTTGGCCAATGTGACTGATGCCTAGGGAAAGGCCCAACTGGTTACAATAGAGAGCAGCTCCCTGTAAATTTGTATCCGTAAACTAAGCTTCAATGTTTATTAGAACATGGCTGTGCAATTTACTTAGTAGGCAGGGTGCAATTTCCCTACATCCCTGCTTACTAAGTAACCTTCAACACAGCTCAACACAGAGCTGGCTCATTTACTGTTATGTATGTATTCAGTTAATTAGGTAGGCAGGCAGATAACTTTATATACCGTTCTATATTTCAAAGAAACCTCTGGATGATTTGCATGATCATAAAAGCATCATCGAAAAATACAAAAAAATATTATTATTCCACGTTTTATAGAAGTGCAAAACACTTGGATAAAACAATCTCTTAAAACAATAGCATAAATGAAAACAACTAATATATGTGGACCATAATAAGTACTAGTAGTTCCAAAATGTAGTAATACAAGAAAGATAACAGTCCCTACCAACCAGATATGCAAGAGTGTAGCTTTTAATGTTTGGTGTTCTTGTTGTTGTTGAGTGGTTTCCTGTGTTTTTGTTGGAAGCTGCCCAGAGTGGCTGGGGCAACCCAGTCAGATGGGTGGGGTATAAGAAATAAAAAGTTGTTGCTGTTGCTGTTGTTGTTGTATGTTTAAAGGGAGCAGTAGCAGTCAAACCTGCTGTCATCTCCCCAACTTAAGCTCACACTACATGGTGAGGCAAAATTACACACACTCTTCCCTTAGAGCTCCCTGCTCTCACCATGGAGCACCCAGAGGCACCTTTGCTGCCTCCAGTGACCATCCTTATTAAATGCATATATTTACGTGATTCATTAAAAACATAAATAAACAGCGATGCATGGTGATGTGGCAGTTGTAGAACTCCAGAAGATAAAGGTATATGGTGGAGAGAGAGACCTTGACAGAGAGATAAAGGTGGCCAGAGGATTGTTGAAGCTGGGTGGATGCGAAAGAAACAGGAAAACCACACTAATGACTCTCCCCATATCACCCCTTGCCTTCAGCCTCTCCTGTCATTCTTTTATGATAACCCCTTTTATGCAAGCACCTTTCTTTCACTACATCTGCTATTTTTCTCATTTAGATAGTGCTTTAATGTGCAAATGCAGCACACATCACATCAGCAAAGAACAGAATACATGTCATTAGCACCACTTCAAGAATTTTAACCAGAACACTAGATCCCATTGGCGTGTCATAAACACTGGCTCTGAATCTGGGTTACTAATTGCGTCATGCACTACTTTCTACATAGGTTTCCGCAGGCCCCTGTTTTTTGCACGTGCACTCACACAACACACACATTATTGGTGGGAATTGGATTGGTCAACACAAACTTCAACCTGCAGTGGACTGAAGTCAAAAACTGAAGTTCAGCACCATGGAGAGCTGCCCTGGAAGAGTCACAGTTCAACCTTCTTATTTGGCATGCTGGTTCGCTCAAGTGAAGGTCACTTCTCATCATTTAAATTACCGTAATGAACCTAAGTTGTCTATGTCCCTTAATTTCAGTAGGTCTACTCTGACTAGCATTGGACACAGCCTATGATTATTACTATTATTATTATTATTATTATTATTATTATTATTCGCTTACATTTGTTAACTTAATAGATTTTCTAAATGTAGCAACCACACTACAACTTGCACAATGAATGAAATGCAAACTTTGTGCCACCACACCACACCCTCACCTACACACATAAACCTCAGCTGTAGGGTCCAAATAGGATCCCCCAGTCTTCTCTATCTTAGAGTTTTCCCAAGCTATACCTCCTCTGCAGCTACATCCTCTATCCCAGACCACATCACTCACCAGCCCTATTTTTCACCCTCATTGGGTGTGCTTGCCTGGCTGGAATGTGTCTTTCTATTTTGATAAAGCTCCTTGCTTCCCTGGATGGATGATAGAAAGGCATGTAAGAGTATTCATCGTAACCAGCGCACTGTCCAAAGGTAAAATTTACAATCATTGCTCCACCCACTTTTACCCACAACTGGCATGTAGGCCCTGGAAGGTTGCTTGGGAAGGAATGTGACTTTGGATCTGAAAACTATTCCCCTGCCCTACACAGAATATGTCCAATTCTTCCCTTGCCTAGTTTAAATCAGTGACATTCATTCTCCTCCTTTGTCATTTCCATGTGGGAATTCTTGCTGGAAACGACATTTTTTTTAAAAAAATTTTTTAATCTTTATTGGTTTAAAATCAACACTTACACATACAACAAAAGCTTGAAAAAACAAAACAAAAGAAGCACAATACCTTCCTTACAGACAAAAAAACAATAGAACAATACATTACAAATTCACAAAAATGTTCCATCAACTTCCGACTTCCTTGATATAGGTTCTTTGTTTTCTTTTGTTTTCTTTTTTAATTATTCAAAGTTATAACAAGACATATTATCCAAAAACATATCCTTATTCCCCCCCCATTTTTCCTCCCTCCCCCCTCCCCCCCAGGACCCACCCCCCCACCCCACCTCCTGACTTCCCTCAGTTCCAGTCTTTGGTTTCTCTAATATTGCTATTTTCTGCATGTTACAAAGTTGTATAGATCCTCAAACTGTTTAGCTGATTATTATCAGTAAAAATAAAAATGTAGATGTTTATTCAAAACCTGCCAAGGAGTCCAATTCGCTTTGTTGCGTCTTCAGATACTTTGTGAAAGGTTCCCATTCATCCTTAAAGTCACAGTTATCCTTGTCCCGTAGTTTATATGTCAGTTTTGCCAGTTCTGCATAGTCCATCAATTTTTCTTGCCATGATTCTTTAGTTGGGGTTTCTTCAGTCTTCCATCCTTGTACAACCAGAACTCTCGAGAAACTGCATTTTTCAAAGCATGCTAAGAGTTCCTAGAAGGACCCATTAGACTTGCATTGGAATTACAAGAAAGTTATTTGCATCTCTTCAATTTAATTTCTCTAGGGGTTAATTAAAACTCTCCATTGATTCCACAAGGACAGTGCTCAATTGATCACTTTGGAGCTTTGTCCCTATAGCCCAGTGTTCAATTTTAGATCAGAAATCAACTTGGAGAAGAGAATCACTAATGCAATACCTCTCAGAAGACTCTGAGGTAGCATCCTCAACTCCCCATGCTACTGAGGGTAAATGTTTTGTTTTAGAATGATGCTGTTATTTAAAATGATCAGACGGTGAAGCTGAGTTAAACTTTAAGTGAGTTTTTATTGTAAGTCTTTAAAGATGTTTGAGAAAGTACAGGAGCCCAAATAATGATTTGGGGCCAGGCTGTTTGAACATATTACACAAATATTGTACCACTTGTGGCCAATATGAGAAGAATAAAGGATTTACTTTATGTCAAACTAAAAGACAAGTGGTTCCATCCCCTTTTCAGAATAAGTTGTGCCCCTTTTCCCAGAAGTTTCGCCTTTTCATATAAATTTTGTCAGAGTTCAAGGAGACATTTCAGCCAAGCAAAAACAGTTGTGGTATGAAGTAGGACCATAATCAGGGAGGGCTGGAGGAGGGTGGCCCAGAGAGGGTACCTGGGCCTGAGGTTCCCCACATCTGACCTAAACTCTTTTAAGGACAGAAAATTATGGAGAGAGACATTTTCAAGACTTTATCAAATGCCATAACTGAAGGTGTCAACCCAATATTAATTGAATGAGAGTTCCGCAATTTGGGGCCACCGCTGATATGGCCCCCATCTCTCACACTCACCAATCTCACGAATTCCAATGATACAGTATAAGTGCACTGGACTGATTGCTGGATATCTTAAGGTTACTGAGTGTTTTAAAGTTTTAAATTGTGTTATTTTTATAATGTCACTTATATTGTTTAGTTTACATATATTACATTTGCAATATTTCCCTGAAACACCAAATAAAAGATCTGTGTCATGAATTAATTAAACACCTTGGAATTTAAGTGATGGGAGCAGCAGATAATATTGAAGACATGGCAGTGAAAAGGAGACCTGACAGAATCCAAACACAAAAGATTGACTTTCTGTAGCTCCAAGCATGGGGGGGAAATGGAACTCTGCCCATCAGTTTTGTATGGTTCATCATCACACTGGCAGGATGTCTGCTCAGAAACCAAATACTCAATGGATTCCTTCCCCAACCTTCCCCCTGCCATTTGTTTACCAAATCCTACTGCAATTAACAATGCCTTTGCCTCGTGGCTTTGTAAGGTCCCTTTAGAATTCTGGTTCCGTGGACCTAATGGGAATTTAAAATCCCCTTTTGTAACCATGCTTAGTACCATGATGTCAGCAACCGACAAAGTATCTGAAGAAAGATCTTCTCCAGATATAGTACTGACTGAAGCGGCATTGCAGCAAAAGACTCTTTAGTGCTTGGACTTTCCAATGAATGGTGCAGAAGTTCCAGTTTTTATTCAGCGGACATTTGTCATCTACCTGAAAATTATCAGAAAGCTAACAGAAATGTAAGGTCTATCTACCATAGGTTAACTAAGGGTGTGGTTGTTTGGTCAACTGGCTGGCTGGTTCCTCCGCTCATAAAAGGAAGGAGATAGTGTTTAAGTGGTTTTTAAGTAGAAAATTGATCAACGTATTGTGGGGGGCTTTTTGTTATGTTGTAGGTAGCTATTGCAGAATTTGTTTATGGAAATGGTTGCACATTACTGGCCCAAGATGACTGTACATTAGTGGAAGTTTCCATTGTTGTGTCAAGGAGATGGTGCAGGGGGAAAAACGCTTTAGGTTTACGAAATATTTTAGCACATGACCTCAAAACTCCCCAGCTTGGATCCTTACTCAATCAATTATTTATTAGGTGATCCCAGAGTTACTAAAGGGGTGAACCTGGAGTTCATTGGAGTCTTCCTCACCATCTGAACCAAGCACTGATAGATCAGTATAGTTCAAATTATTTTAAAGGTGCCTAGAATTCAAGAGAACCCACATTTAAATTTGAAAGGAGCAATTCTGACAAATAAGCCTGAGATCCGGACAAAAGGGAATACTTATTCACACAGCGCATTGCTAAGCTATGGAAATCGCTACCACAAGGTGTGGTAATCTGGGTGGCTTTCAAAGGGGCTCAGACAAATTCATGGAGGATAAGGCTCTCCAGACTGGCTTTATGGGTGGTGTGGCTCTAAATACTAGTTGCTGCGAATCACAAGTGGGGAGAGCTCTGCCGTGCTCGTATCCTACTTGTAGGCTTCCCATTGGCTGGTCACTGTGGGAACCGGATGCTGGATGAGAGGGGCCTTTGGTCAGATCCAGCAGGACTCTTCTTATGTCGACAAGAGTTGATCTTAGGTTAGTTGAAAGACTGCAAAGTCACACAAAATGTGTTGTTCACAAATACTAAAACTGTTACCCCTTGCATACTTTTCCAAGGGATTGGTTCCATTGAACTCAGCAGGACTTACCTCTGAGTAAAAATGAAAAAATCAGGATGTAAATCTTCTATTTGACATACCTAAGGCAACTTGAATTATAGGCCGGTGCCCATTTTGCAAGCATTCAATTGACGAGTGACCTCCAACATTCTGGACCCAGAAGAGATGGGGTGGAACTGGGGGGCAGAACAGTGTGTAGCAGGGCGGGTGGGCTTATGTGCATTCCGCCAATGCACACAGGGGCCACGAACACAATCCCACACAAATCGGGGGTTGCCCGTAATTCTTACCCTCGTCTCTTTATCTGCAGCTCTTGTTATGTCTCCAGGAACCCCTCTGGATGATGACATGAGAAGAGGCAACCAGTCCTGTTTGACTGAGATTGTATTTTTGGGCTTCTCAGATTTCCAGAGCATGCAAGCTCTTCTTTTTTTGCTGGTACTAATGTTCTACTTGGTGGCATTAATTGGGAACAGCCTGATATTGATCATCACGGTTGCCGAGCCAACACTTCACACACCAATGTACTTCTTCCTCCGGAACTTGTCCTTTTTGGAAATCGGCTACACCACTTCCATCATCCCGAAGACGCTTGAACATTTACTGTCAGAGAATCAGACCATATCCTTTGTAGGCTGCGGGATTCAAATGTATTTCTTTATTCTCTTTGGTATTACTGAGTGTTGCCTTCTTTCTGTCATGGCATTCGACCGCTACGTTGCCATCTGTAAACCCCTGCAATACTCCTGCATTATGAGCCCTAAAGAATGTGCTCTGCTGGCTGCTGTTTCATGGGCCATTGGTAGTTTGGTGGCTTTGGGCCAGTCCATTTCTATATTTACTCTTCCCTATTGCGGCCCTAACAGAATCAGCCATTTTTTCTGTGATATTCTGCCCGTTTTGAGACTGGCTACCACCGACACCTTCAAGAATGAAGTGGCAGTTGCTACGGTAACTGTGTTCTTTATCCTGGTTCCATTTTTGCTCATCCTGTTGTCATACATGCTCATCATCGCCACCATCCTAAAGATGCCTTCAGCCAAGAACAGACACAAAGCCTTCTCCACCTGCTCCTCACATCTCATTGTCGTTTCTCTTTTCTATGGAACTGTCACTTTCACCTACGTTCGACCCAAATCAGTCTATTCCCTAGACAGCGACAGGATCCTCTCTCTCCTCTACACAGTAGTGACACCATCATTCAACCCAATTATTTACAGCCTGAGGAACAAAGAGATAAAAGCTGCTTTCAAGAAATCAATAGCAAGGAAGGAAGGTCTTCCTTAGATAATAATCTAGCTGTATCATACCAGTTCCATTTATCTGTTGCACTTCAGCAGGAATCCATTGATACTGTATTTTTACATTGTTATAAGCTGCCCAGGGACTTTATAGTGAAGGACAGGTAAGAAATTGAGATGATAAGAATAGCAATAACATTTAAGGCATTTATATACTACCTAATCATTAGCATCTGTAAGGGGTGTACATAAAATAAATCACACAGAATAAACCAATAAAACTGAACAGGTGCCTGAACACCTGCTGGAACAAGGAGATCTTTGTCATGTGCTTGAGGTTCAGCATGGAGGGTGACTAAATAATAATGCTGGCTGGGTGGGTGAGTTGCAATGCCTCTTTGTTCCCTTTCCTCCACCTCCCCGTGGTTGCCAGCAATGACTCCAGGCTTTGGGGAGTCCTGGGAGAAGATGCTCTGGATGGACCCCTCTCTCCCTCACTGATATCCTCATTGCCTACTCACTTGCCTCCTCTCACCTCCAGCCACACAACCACCCAGAAGCAGCATAAGGCAAGTGTAGGTTGCTGCCCTATTGCTTCACTAGTGTCACTGCTTGTAGAGTGATGGTGACCAGGAAGTGACAGTGAGCAACAGGGGTTAGCAGTGCCTCTTCCCTCTGGAGTGTGGGTCTCAGAAGAAGCCCAGTGATGCTGACCTCTGACACCAGTCCTACGAGTTTCTCTTGGATTTAGGAGTGGGTGGTTGATACTTCCTTGCTGGTTGGTTTTTGTTAATTACATTTATATCCATCCTTTCGTATCCCGGTGGTATGCATGGCTGGACACATCAAGGAAGCATTTCAGTTAAACATGTTGCAAACTTTGTATGAGAAATCAGGTTAGCAAAAACGGGACTCCACAACGCCATCCGGTGTCACAGTGTTGGAATGCATAAACAACGCATACAAAGTGATGTTTCTTTGCCAGTGTAGCTGAGTCCCATGTTTCTTCCATTTCCCCATTTCATCCTCACAACAAATCTGTGGGGTTAAGTTAGAGATAGTGCCCAAAGTCACACAGTGAGCTTCATTGCTGAGTGGGGATTTGAACCCTGGTCTCCCAGGTGTTAGTCTGACACTCTAGCCATTACACCACTCTGCTTTACAGCAGTGACCATTTTGCATGCGTTCAATTGACATGTAACCACCAACATGCAGGTCGTTTTGGACTTGGAAGAATGGGAGCAGGACAAGGGGTGGAACGGGGTGTGTGTGGAATAGGGCTTATGCGCACTCTCCCAATGCACGGGGGGCTAGGAACACAACCCCCATGCAAATTGGGGCTTACCTGTATTATTTATTCCCTATGATGCATAAGAGCATAACTACATGTTAGGGAAAATCGAACTCAAAGAGGGTATGCCGTTGGCATTGGTTGATTCCTCAGTTCAGGAAGGCTCTGCACTGCAGCTGGGAAGTCCGCTCCACTTTACTGTGGGGAGGAGTTGTGTGGCCACCCCCTCTCCTCCGGGACGGGGGGACAAAGTCCCACGTTGCCCGGGGGATCCTGGCCACGTCATCGCCCAGCCGGCGGGAGCTTGAGTTGGTCTGCATTGACAGGGCTCCCCCTTCCGGTGGACTCCCTGCGCAATGGGCAGGAGTCATATAGTCGGGTCCATTCAATGCCTTAGTGAATACTGCTCACAGTCTGAATCAATAATGTTGTGGCCAAAATTTGCCCAATAACATTAACATAATATCTGTGTCCTGGTGTTTTGCTGCAAATGGTGACCAGTTATGTATTTAACTTTTCATCTTCTAGGAGCCAGGCCACTGCAATGGGAAGAAATGCCTTAATACTGGGTTAGGAGCTGTTGGGATCTGTGGATACTGCCTCATGTGGTGAGCCACTGAGCTGCAGGTAACAGCTTCTCAGTGATGCACCCTGAGGTCCTAGACTCACTCCTTATTTCCAGGCCACTGGATCCCCCAAGGCAGGAAGACATATAACTGGCTTCTTATTTCAACAGAACTTTGCTTAGGCAACACAAATTTTTATTATTTTGGTCACAGACCAGTTCCAGCCCACATACAATATCAAGGAAGTCATAAAACACGAGAGATACATTTGAATTTGCAGTTAGGTATAACAGGGACAATACAGATATAGCAACAGTTTAAAAATATATAAATTAAAACTTAGTCACCAACATATAACCTAAAATTATCATTTAAGGCCTTAATCATTATGATAGCACAGCTTGTTCCCTAAGTTTTATGGCAATCGCACAGAATTTGGCTACCATTAACGTGATCTCAGGGATTTTAGACATTGAAGTTCGGAGCTCAAGCAACATGGTCTCCCAGATCTCTGGCATATTGTTGTACCCTTAGTTGTGCTTTGGACTATCCCCATGACTTTCCTCCAGGCCACACTTTTGGTTGGCCCTACTCTGCATCCTCTTTGAATGCTTTTTCCAGACTCAGGTTTGTTATTGAACAGTGGTGATCTCTGTTGTTTGCGTGAATGGATGTGTTTGTATTCTAAACCTTTGATGATTGCATTGCTGGAATGCAGCATATTGTAGAAAGTTCAAAGTCCCATCAGTTGCTCTGCCTATTTTTCACCTCTTGCCACTGCTGTCATGGGAAGGTTTCCCACAAGGGGAAAGCCACTTCCGAGCTAGAGAGGAGGTGGGGTTGCGGGCCCACCCCCTCCCCACGCACGCAGGGGCTGGTTCTCAGCCCCCGCAAGAGCAGGGGAATCCTCGGGCGCCAATACCATTCAATTCCTGTAATCAATAAAGGTGTGGCCTTTTATGCCCATTAACCTTAAATAATGTGTCTGGTGTCTTCATTTCACAAGGAGGGAGGGTACTTGCCACGCAAATAGTCCTTGTGCGAAAAGAAGTTCTTGTCTCCTTGTGTTCTAGAAATGCCCTTAAAGTGTGCTTCGTATCCCCTGTGGAAAGTGAGGGAAATAATGAGTCAGAAGGAGGAATTGCTTGAGGGGAAGAAATACAAATAGTTTCCCTTTCCTGAGACTATTAAGGAGAATGAAGCCTAAAGAAGATTGGTGAAGCTTGGAGAAGTCCTTTGGCAGTAAGCGAGAGCCTCACTTCTAAGACCAGAAGAATGAAAATTGCACCCTGGAGAATATAGTAGCAGACAAAAAGATCAGGCTGGTGAAGGATCTGGAAATTAGGGACTGCGCAAGAAAGGAAGTCGTTGAAGGAAGATATAGCTAATGGCTCCATAAGGAGATAATGTCACAGGAACCCAGTGACAAAAGCAGGCAGGAATGGATATTTACTGATTGTGAGTGAATCATCAGGTGGGCTTTGAAAAATGCACAGCCTTGTTTCGTCACCACCTGTGCTTCTCATCCCATCTGCATCTATCTAAGGCATTTGTGTTTTTTTGACTTCTGATGCTATTCATCTTCAGTTCTTCTCCACAAAGTACATCTCAGCAGGAAAAGACAACTAAGAACCTCCAACCCCCACATGCTTTTCATTTTCTTGTGTAATGGTTAAGATCTTGAGATATGAGCTGAAGTCAAGCACATCAGGCAAAGACATGGGAAAACAACTCTGATGTGGGTGAGTTTCTCCCCCTACACTCCAAGATCCAATCATCAACCATATTAAGATCCTCCTTTCAGAAGTGACAGTTGTTGAACAAGCACTGTGTGTGTGTGTGTGTGTGTGTGTGAGAGAGAGAGAGAGAGAGAGAGAGAGAGAGAGAGAGAGAGAGAATATATATCCCACCTGTTCTCCAAGGAGCTCAAGGTGGTGTTCATTGTTCTTCCTCTCTCCATATTATCCTGTCAACAATTCTGTGTGGTAGGTTAGACCGAGAGATGGCGACTGGCCTAAGGTCACCAGTGAGTGTAACAGCTGAATGAGGATTTGAACCCTGGGCTCTCAGGTCCTAGCCCAGCACTACACCACACTGGCTCCATATGTGTGACTCAGAATGCTGTGAGAACGGTGTTTGTGTGGCTTGAGAAGAGAATGCAGAATTAGTTGGGATCCAGGACTGGGAAGGACACAGCTGTAGACTTTCCTTGAAAGGAAGGGCATATGTGATGAATGAAGGGTCAAGGGTGAAAGAGGATCCTGATGAAATGGAACAAACTGTGGCATAGAGCAGACCGCATTGTGTGATCTGACTTTTGGGTGTTCCTGTCTTCCAAGTTAAGGGTTCTTTTGCCTCCAGTCTTGTGATCAGGGCTGGGCATTCTCCCACAGCAAGTAAGGTTGAATTCTGCATCTTCTGTTAATCACATTTGTGGCTGCTTGATAATTTATGGGTAGGTTATTTAACTACTGCTAGTTATGGGAGGGTTGAGTGTCTCAGTTTGGTATGGAGCAGGGGTGGAGAACCTCAGGCCTAGGGATGAATGTAGCTCTCCAGGAGGCCTCTCTCTCACCTAGAGGAATGTCCCTGGTCTTCATATTCTTCTCAAGTGCCCCTGCCTGCTCAGAACCTGATGTCAGGTAGCAGATGTTGTGGAGTTTGCCTGAGTTCTCGGAGAACCTGTGCTGGTCAGAGTGGACAATACTAGATGGACTAACAAGCAGCCTCATATGTTCATACGAAACCCTGACCCTCCAAAGCTCAGCCCCCTTTCAGTAGCTTACCAGGTATGCACCTTGAGGACTAGCTACTTCCTCCTTATTTACAAAAACAAACAAAGCAGAAACAATGCTAAATTCATCAAATATACAAAAAGCGCTCTCATTTTGCTGAGCACTTGTCCTTATGTAGCCAAAATTATACCATATGCACATAAGAGGGAGGTATCAGGAGGCTCGGGGGAGCCTCAAGGTTTTTCTAAAGCTACAATTTATTTTTTTAGGAAAAAACCCAAGTAGGGACCATTGCAAATAGTCCAATTAAGACTGTGCATGCTCTGTGACCATGGAGTATTGTTGGACCAGGGGTGGGGGATGGAAAACCAGGTGGGTTGGCCAATGGAATGATTCTGAACATGAGCACATTTTGTTGCCAGTCCCCACTCTAGGACACCGACCTTGAATAATTCTATTTATGTTAACCCACTTACTCATTCCTTTGATATGCAGTCAGAGCCTATGCAATGCAAGTGTTGAACCATGTACACCAGCAGTTCTCAACCTGTGGGTCCCCAGATGTTGTTGGGACTACAATTCCCATTATCCCTGAGCTCTGGCCTTGCTAGCTAGGGGTGATGGGAGTTGTAATCCAACAACATCTGGGGACCCACAGGTTGAGAAAGGTACACAGTCCTATGTATAGCTGAAGGCTTGCAAGAGAGAGCTTCATTCATTCTCTCCTCTCCAGCCCCACACTCATTCTCTTAAAGGTGTCATGTATTTGATAGACAAGGAGCACCATTTTTGTGTGCAGAATCCTTGTAGAATCCATGCATTGCATACAGAAGGCTATGGGTTCAATAACTGGTATCACCAGTTACAAATGATTGCTGGTAAGATAGTTGGAAAGGCATGTACCTGAGACCTTAGAAGTCCACTGTCAAAGTCAATAATACCGGGCTAGATGGACTGATAGTTTAAGGCTGTGCTGGGGAGTCCACCACCTTTAGGTGCTGTTGGACTCCAACTCCCATCAGCCTCAAACAACTTGGCCAATTGTCAGGGCTGATAAGAGTTGTAGTTCAGGAGTATTCAGAGAGTTACAGGTTCTTTGCCCCTGGTCTAGGTTGCATTCATATGTTCACATGATCTTCCTAGGTTCAAGCTACCACCATGAATCCAACAGACTTCGGAAACCATACAATCATTACTGAATTTCTCTTGCTGGGATTTGGGAATTTGGGTCGTCTGGATCTCCTCTTCTTCTTCATCTTCCTAGTGATCTACATTGTGACCATGGTGGGCAACATCCTCCTCGTCGTACTGGTGGTATCGGACCACAACCTTCACACACCCATGTACTTCTTCTTGGGAAATCTGTCTTGCTTAGAGATCTGCTACAGTTCCAACATTATGCCCAAGATGCTAGCTGGCCTCATCATCTACCAGGGCAAAGTCATTCCTGTGGCAGGCTGCATGACACAGTTTTATTTTTTTGGTTTCCTGGTAGTTGCAGAGTGTTATCTCTTGGCTGCCATGTCTTATGATAGGTATGTGGCAATATGCAAGCCGTTGCTCTATGTGATTGTTATGGATGGCAAAACTTGCGTTCAGCTAGTGGCAGGGGCTTGGGTAAGCAGTTTGCTGGTTATTAACCTAACAATATGTTTAATCCAGCAATTAACCTTCTGCGGTCCCAACACAATTGACCATTTCTTTTGTGACTACAGCCCATTGTTGAAGCTGTCTTGCAGCGACACCCACATGATGGAGCTGGTAACTACTCTTCTGGCAGGCCTTTGTTCCCTGCCACCCTTTGTTTTAACTCTGGCTTCCTACAGTTCTATCATACGAGCCATTCTGAGAATCCCGTCCACTGTTGGAAAGCAAAAGGCCTTCTCTACCTGCTCCTCTCACCTCATGGTAGTGTCCATCTTCTATGGCACGATCATTATTGTCTACCTGTTACCAAGAACGGATGCAATGCGAGATTGGAACAAGGTCTTTTCTCTCTTCTACATAGTCCTGACCCCATTGCTCAATCCCCTTATATATAGCCTGAGAAACAGGGAGGTGCAGAATGCTTTGAATAAAGTGCTTCTTAAATTACTCATTTACAGAACTGTAGCTTAAGACGTCTGGCTACTTAGGACTGTGGCCACCTAAGTCCTACTCAGAGCAGACCCATTGAAATGAAGGAACCAAAGTTTTTCATGTCCACTGACCACAATGGCTCTACTTTGAGTTGGACCAGCACTAGATACAACCCTTGTATTTGTCTTGAAGAGAGGAGTGAGGGATCTCAGGCACCTCCATATGGCCTTCAGTGCTTTCCCCAGGCCATACATCCCTCCCCAGGCCACTTGGCTCAGGTTCCCATGTTTGAACCCTCTCAAGCACTTTTCCCTGGCCAGAATGTGACCTTGAAGTGTAATGATAATGCTGGCTGAAGTGTGGTGTGCATGTGTATAAAGGAGAAACCTTTGTGTCTTGTGTGACTGGAATGCCACTGACAGTACAAAGATAAGATTCATATCCATTCCGCAGATCACTTTCATCTCTTGACCTGCCCTATCACTTGCATCTGGCCCCTGGAAGGTTGCCCACAGTGGAATGCAGCCCTTTGGGCTGAAAATTTCCCCCTGACCCCTTCTTTAAAAGATATCATATTCCTTTGGAAGGGCCAGCTTTTGGCAAAACATTATGAGGCTGGAGTTTAATTCACCTGCATCTCAAAATTCTGTTTCTCCATGGATGCCTCACACAGATCTTACTATACAGCGGTTTGACTTGCAACAAATGCTTACTCCTCGCAATCATGGCATTTGATCGCTACTTAGCCATATGCAAACCGCTTAGCTACAGGACCATCATGAACTTCAAGGTCTGCCTCTAGCTAGCAATTGCTTCCTGGTTAACTGGCTTCTCGGTGTCTTCCCTATCCGTTGGGACAGTGTCCACAATGCTTTTTTGTGGTCCCAATGAAATCGACCATTTTATTTGTGATATGGATCAGTTAACCAAACTCTCCTGCAGAAAAAGCATCCTGGCAGAGATGACTGTCCTTATCTCCTGCTCCATTGTGACTATAGGGCCCTTTGGGTTCATCATCGTCTCGTATGTTTACATCCTGTCAGCCATTTTGAGAATTGCCTCCTCCACAGGGAGACAAAAGGCCTTTTCAACATGTGCTTCCCACCTCTTAGTGGTGAGCTTATATTATGGGACCATCATGATCATGTATGTGATACCTACAAAAAAATCAGTCCCCAGGCTTCCATAAGGCAATATCTGTCATGTACACCGTTGTCACGCCAATGTTTAATCCTATCATATACAGCCTCCGGAACAAAGAAGTAAAAGGGGCCTTCAAGAAACTTCTGTTTCATAATCTTGGCACGAATTAGGACATCTTTGCCAATCTGGAGTCCTCCTGATGATTTGAACTATATTATTATTATTATTATTATTATTATTATTATTATTTGTATACCGCCCTATACCCATAGATCTCAGGGTGATTCACAATATAAAACTACAGTTACCATCATCCCTAACCACTGGCCATGCTGGATAGGCTTGATGGGAGTTGGAGTCCAAAACATGTGGAAGGTACCAAATCGGGGAAGGCTGTTAGGGTGATTGTGGTACTTCTCAAGTTACTTCAGCAGTATGGGAAGTTGAACAAAACATTGGTAATTCAGGGTTCAAATGCTGGGGAAAAGGTGTCTGCATTGTACACATGAGAAGATATACCCCAGACCCTGGACTGGTGGTAATAGTCATCTTAGAGTAGAGATTTGGAACTTGTGCCTTCCAGACAACATTAAACTGTACAGTGGTACCTCTGGTTACGTACTTAATTCGTTCCAGAGGTCCGTTCTTAACCTTAAACTGTTCTTAACCTGAGACACCACTTTAGCTAATGGGGCCTCCCACTGCTGCTGTGTCGCACAATTTCTGTTCTCATCCTGAAGCAAAGTTCTTAACCCGAGGTACTATTTCTGGGTTAGCGGAGTCTGTAACCTGAACCGTATGTAACCCGAGGTACCACAGTACAAGGATATGTCACATACAGAGATTCTAAAACCAAGGTTGGAAAAACTTCTTCAGCCCAACAACCAAATTCACTTTTGGGCAGCATTCTAGAGGCCGTGTGCCAATGATGGGTGGGGCCAGAAGCAAAAGCAGGTGGAGCAATAGAGGAGCTGAGTACCTTTGTGCCACAGACTGCATTTCAGACACAAAGAAGGTTCTACACTATCCCGCGCAAATGCATGCTTCTCTTCATCCAGGCAAGAAGAGCCATTTTCACAGTTCAAGGACACATTTCAGCCAGGCAAAAGCACCCAAGGAGAGAGTGTCACAGGGCCTGTGAGGGCTGTGTACTGGGGAGAGTCCCAAGAACCACATTTGGTACATTGAGCACAAGTTCTCCACCATGCTTTAAACCTGTGGTGGCCTCTACCTTGTGGAATGATGCCCCCAAGGACCTCAGGCAGGCTGTGGATTGCTTCTGATAGCATTTGAATTTGTACCAGTTTACCTGGGCAGTTTCCTTATACCGATTCCTGCTGTTCCTGCTTGTTGTGACTCACACTTGAATGTTATTTTATTGTGTTGGTTTTGTTGCTGTTGTTGTTTTGTTGGTGAATCGCCTTGGTATTTCTTTCCGAACTGAAAGGCAGTATATATGAATTCTTTTAACAAAGAAAGTAAAGAAAACTGCTCATGTAAGCCCTATCAAGCCAAAGACAATATGTACCAGCCAGGCCAGCATTATTAATTATCTTTATTATTGTTTCCATGGAACCAGTAGACACAGGATGTGAAGATGAGCTGCTAAAGTAAAGGACTTCTAAACACAACAGATGTAACTTTTTTTCTCATCTATTGTCTCTTCAAATACCCACCCACCCCTTTTATCTCTTCCAAAGGGATAAATAATATAATGATGAACACTTGTGGAAGCTGAGTGTTCAAGTCAACTAAAATTGCAACTTCTGTGTTTCAGAAGTGGAACACTTCCAGCTATCCAGTGTTGAGGATTCACAACAGCAGATGAATCATCTTGTACAAGAACCTTAAATATATTGAAGTCCGGAAGTGAAAAAAATCATTTTAATGAATAATGGGCTTGAGCTTAATAGTAAAGCACACAACCCACCGTTTGTGCATCTTTTTAATCAATAATTTTAATTGATTTTTTAAAAAAAACGTAAAATAAATATGACACTCAGCAGGGTGTCAGTAAAAAAACCCTAACATTTAAAAAAAGAAATATTCACTGGTCCAAATGTTCACCAAATAAGGACTCGCATAGCTTAGTTCAAGATAAACATGCAAATTGAAAGTACTTGGGCTTAAAAGAGAGAGAACATTCATTTATTGAGTTACATACTTCACTTCAAGTGCAGAAATACAGGAGAAAAGTCTCTGTCTCTATGTGGAGTGGGGGTCAAAATTATAAACTGAATAACATAATGATGGCTGACTGGGAACAGTTATGGACCACAGGTATGAAATTCACGGCATGTAATGCCCTAAGAGAAAATTTAATGAAAATGATTTATAGGTGGTACATGACACCAGTCAAGCTTGAAAAAATTTACCATCTGCCCGACAATAAATGTTGGAAATGTAATGTACATTCTTTCACCTTTGGTGGACATGGCCAAGGATTAAGACATTCTGGGAGATGATTTATAATGAAATGAAAAAGGTATTTAAATATACCTTCCTGAAGAAACCAGAGGCCTTCCTCCTGGGCATGGTCGGCCAATTGGTGCTAAAGAAGGATAGAACTTTTTTTATGTATGCAACAACAGCAGCAAGAATACTCATCGCGAAGTATTGGAAGACACAAGATCTACCCACCAGGGAAGAATGGCAGATGAAGTTGATGGACTATATGGAACTGGCGGAAATTACTGGCAGAATCCGAGACCAGGGAGAAGAGTCGGTGGAAGAAGACTGGAAAAAATTTAAAGACTATTTACAGAAACATTGTAAAATTAATGAATGCTAGAAGAATGTTGGAATGAAGTGATATGGCTTTAGTAGAAATGTTATAAGGAATTAAGTATAAATAGATTAATAGAATATTAAAGGAAAAATAAGGTTAGAATGTGTTAAGATAATTATAGGATAGAAAACAGAGGAAGATGGAAAGGAATTGCTGAAACAACTAATAGAACTGGAATACAAAAAGGGAGGTGTGAGGAGGTCGTGGAAATAAGTGAATGAAAGATAAGATACTGAAATTGTTTGATGTGTTTTAAACTGTTTTCTTTGGTTATGTTAGTTTAATGTGTCAGTGTTATGTAGTGTTTTTGTATTGTATTGTATAGTATTGTATTGTATTGTATTGTATTGTTCTGTTCTTTTTTTTGCCGTGCCCCAAGAACTCTCCATTTGGGGAACTACACCGGCCTCAGCTCAGCCAGCTTCTGCTGAGCCAGGATGAGCTGACTGCATCAGCATATTTTTGGCTGAGCTGGGGTTGGAGATTTAATGCCAGTGGAGCCCAGCTAAGCTGAGAATCAGCCAAATGACCTCAAGATTGGTACAAGAGGAATATGAGCAAATGAAATAAAGTTCTCTAATTACTTGTACATGATTCTAGAGATTCATACCCTGCTCCTCATGTAGCAGCCTCCAAGGGTAGCCAAAAGAAAAAAGAAAATTCAGCAATGTAAAATAAGGAACAGGAACAGAGCAGGGGGAGAATGACCACCAAATAAAAAATTAAAAGAGATCTAAAATGGCTGGCAGAATAAAAAGGGAGTCAAAAGGCATCAAGGTTGGCTTCCCTGGGGAAAGCGTTCCAGAGCCATAGAATAGGTCCTAACAAAAGTCGCCATTTACCTGACCTCTGGTCTAGGACACATATCTTAGACACCATTTGGGCAGTGCTCGGGACATAAGTCAGTTAAGACTCCATTCAGTGTTGCTGGGGGGTGGATGGACAAAGCCTGCATGGTAAAAGGGAATCTAGCAGTGCAATTTCTTTGATTCACATAATTCAAGTATGGGGGAACTGTTTTCAGCCCAAGGACTGGATGGAGAACTACCCAATGGTGTAGGGGTCATTATAATGTCAGGTGACAAAGGGGCTCGTGGTCAGTGCTGGT